CCACAGAGAAGGTACATTATAGAAAAAGAAGTATTGAAAATGCTTGTAAGTGGGTTACTTAAAATATCAGCACATTTCTTAAACAATGGCAGGTATACCATCAGGGCCTAGACTCTGGGAAGGTTGATTTCAAACATTGTTGTCTTTCAAAAGCTGAGGGTAGAATAAAGAAGATGATAGGAAAGAATGGGTAGAGTGTATAAATTAATAAATTGTAAAAGATGAGGTTGAGTTATGCCGGAAAGTCTCGAATTCTCCGTGAAATAAGCTAAACGGGACATTTCCTTAGGAATCAATAAACACTGTAAGAAAAACTCATATCAAGCTACGTAACATTTGATTTGTCTGCTACCACAAGACTTACTTACAAGACCTAAACGATTGAATCAGTCCACACAAGTCTTTCTCACTCCTGGAAACGAAAACTAACAGTCTGAAATTCAGGGAGACTCAGTTTAAGATAACTGAATCAAGACAATATTTGTCTTACTCATCAAACTCCATGTTTCCTCTGTATTTACTTGGATAGTACATAATCTTCCGTAAAATAATTCTGCTCTAACTAGTCCAAGGACTCTACTATTTGGTGATAAGATATTTTAGATGGATAGGAATATGCGTCGTTGGTTTTTGAAATGAATGACAGAAACGTGGATTATCAGTCTACTTTGCTTATTAAGTTGTTCACAGTGTAGATTAAATGTCTCGTTATGTATATTTAGGAAGTTAAATGAACTTCGAGGTTTGCAATCCAGTGAAACAACTATTGAGATAACACTTCAGGGGGAAAAATCTTGACATTTGTGATTTTTCTAACATCTCCTGAGAAATAGTGTAGAGATGGTGTTCTGCTGATTAGTAATTATTGTTGGGTACCCTATAAAAATTCTCTTTTGAATTTCAACCTCAGATTATTTCCATTTTGTATTCCACTGATGAAGACACTTATCAAGAGGACACAGGTCATCTCTTTGTTTGTTAGTGAAACTCATAATTGTGATGACATTACTTATTAGATAGTGTCACTGACCTAATGATTCTTTAGAATGATGATGTCATTCATATAACAGATTCGTATTTTCGACTGTATCATAGCTACTGCCATCAGTTTGTTGATTTGGCATTACAACTTGAAAACCACCTTATTGTTTCACATGTTCAGTGGGAACCCTTATTCTCATTGGTTAACCTGTAATATTTATCGCTTAAAATCTCCACTATTGTGGGACAGTTTGAAATGTTATCACAGAATAATCACTTTTTAAAGTTTTCGGTTATCTCTTATATCGTCCTCATTTTACTCACTTGTAGAGGATGAGAAACTTCTTCCCTTTAATTGACAGAGTAAATTTTCGGATATTTGATAATATTACAATATATATTTTTAAAATACAAATTAAGATCAATTACACAAAGCATTGCATATTGTAGAAATTTACCATATCACAGTTTTTAAGTCATTGGAGGAAATTATTTGACACAACACTATAACCGGGTGTTATCAACCAAAGCACATAGTGCTAATTCGCAAGAAAAACGATCAATAAAATTGCCTATATAGGCATTGTTACACTATTTTATTCTTCCCACTTTATCTACAACTATATATGTTTCTTTATGTGACCATGTCAGCACAAGGATACACAAATATATTCATTCCGCTTCTACAATTCAATAGATTTTCATTAGATTGGTGTGTATATACATATATACATATTGTTGAATAGATTGTATTGCATCTTTGAATTTTCATCAAACCACATGACATACGCGGCACACAAATTGTCTATAATATCTAAACCTTACTGCTAGACTATTAGTTAAATAAAAATTCTGAAAAGTCTGCCTTCTAAATGCACACGGGTGTGTGCACAAAAATATAGGCATACGTGCACACATCTAAATAAATCCTACGCAAAAATAAATCCCTTTTCCGAAGGGCAGAACACCTAGAAGAAGTATTAGACACGACGAATAAATTTCATTTCGCTGATAATATATATATATATATATATACAGTATAAGTGCTACTTTTTTGTTAACCGTCATATAGTTGTGCAAAGTTCTTGTCTTTCGTTTCACCGATAAATTTAAATCAAGTGAGTCTGATAACGTCATTTTATAAGTATTACATAATAAAATATTTGTACTTTAATTGTATAATCTTCTAAGCATTACTGAGATCATTCTTTTATCAGTACATGTAACACTTAATGTCATTTTGTTTATCTTAATTTGGATAAGCGTTATATGCTGTGTGAATGAAATGAAGCGATAAAATGAACTAGATTATTGTATATTTACCAACTGTTTTGTTCAAGTGTTTTTTTTTGCAATCAAGGATGCTTAGTTAAGCTCTTGTGTTTATTGTGTTTTTTAGAGTGAAAAAAGTGTTTAATTCATATAAAAACTGTATATCATTAAAGGATGGTGCGGGAACTGAAGCAAAATAACTAGTACAAGAAGCGATCTTCGTACCAACGAAGATTTCTAGCTCAGATGGACATTTTATTGATGTGCTTCTGTTCTCTGAGCTAAGGTAGGGGTGATTGGTTGCGAAGCCATAACTGTCTTTCTGGACAACATTTTCAGCACTTACTTCATTACAGATTATAAGTACCTAAATACTGCGCTGATATCTCTCTATAATCATATTTCATAAATTTAGAAAATTTAGCTGAACGGAAAAGGTGCGGCAAAACTCATCGGAACTTAGCACACAATTCATTTCCCTTCCAACTTGTATCAGTAGATTAGAAATAAAACACAACGGCTAACTACGAAAGGGATTTTTAAGTCTCACTGTGACTGAAACGTCTTTTCAGAGTGAAGGTATATATCAGTGTAGTTGAGCCGGTAGTTTATTTGAGGCTATTTTTTCTTCTATACAAACCCGCCTACTGACGTTTGTACTGAAGATTTTGTCTAGAACGAGAATGGAAGCTTCGTAAAGGAGCCACCCAGTTCAAAAAACTCAACTCCAACAATATCGTCCACCTGAGCTACACATTTTCCACATAATTATGTGTATATATATTATAGCAAAACTGTCATATACCAAACGTAAAGCCTCACTGAGTTCAGTCTTTTTCTTTACAATTTTTCTAGCCATAGTTACCAGTGTTCTTTGTAAAAATTAGAACGAACTACTTATCTTTGCAACCTTTTTATTTCTTTGCGTTCCCAATGGAAGATAGGGTTTCAAGCTAGAGCTTTGAAGATCCATTGGCAGTGGTTGTTTCTTTTTACGGGATGACGTTGCTAGCTTGACGCCTAACCAACCTTCTTTATCGGGCTTACTACCAGTTAAGCAAGATTTACAAGTGCGTCAGCCGGGAAACGAACCCCAGACCACTCGTTTGCTCGTTCAGTGTTCTATCACTGAACCACTGACGCAATAAGCAAATGCATACGGTTAATTGAATAATCTGTAGTTTTAATTCATTGTATGGCATTCAGCTCTAATTTATTCTAATGTACTTTAAAAATAAATGAGTTCTTAGACAAATTTACGACTGAATCAACAGAATGTAAATTATAAACCGCCTAGCAAAATAATTTTATTTTGATATTTTAAGAGGTTAGTTTGAATACTTTCATTTATCGTATACTTAAAAATATCAGCTAGCTTATATGTTTTGCTAAAAATGGTCAGTAACATTATCAGATCGGTAAATACCATCTTAAATCTTCAAGTTTTTCATTACAATCCAAATTAACGCATTACACCAGTTACATAAGAAACCTTTACACAATTAGAGAAAATTAAATAAATAGCTGTTTATAGGACACTGGATTTTGATTACATGTAAATAAAATAATTGAAAGAGTGGGTATCTTCAAAAAAAATTTATCACCAGTACAAAAAGCAACAATCCACACTATCTGAACAACTAGTATTAAAAGTTTGCTCAACATTCACAAGGCTTATCTAGGTTATGTGATATAAATACATGAACAAAAGTAATATGACAATGAGTAACAATTTCACTGCCGTTTTACAAGACTATACAGCTGATACTGCCATTCACTAAAACTTTTCACAACTATTGTTAATGAAAACTTATGAATTTTTATAAAACTAATTCAGAAACCGTTTAATGGGGGAAACTTTTAGTTCCCTATTCGAAAAAGTGCTGTCGCTTACTGATTCTTAGTCTAAATAAGGCCACTGAATAAATATCATCAAGTATATCATAAATTCACTTCTTGTAGACAGTAAGCTTGGTAGATGTACTTTACAAGTTACTTCGTATCATTCGCTGACTGGAAGACAATTGCTCATATCCTGATAGATAACCTAAAAATAAATTGTGAGGAAGAAATAGCTTATTTAGATCACGTCAACAGAAAGTGGATATTCATTCCTCTCATACTTTCTATTAATCTATTTAACCTGAAATTGAATATAAAGATATAATAAAAAAAAAGGATCGAAATATTTTAAAACCATAACTTTGTTTTTCTAACCTTCATGTCAGTAGTGTAGTGAATTTTCTGGCACAAGCCAATTTAGTATACATAACTCTTCTATCCTCATATTTTCAGATAGCAATAGGGATCATAGTTTATGTTTACGTATGAATTAATGTAAAAATAGAAAAACAAAGTTAGATAGTAAATTTTAAAAGAAAATAGTAGTAGAATGTTATGCAAAACATTCCATTTTGTTGACTATTATTGTGATAAATGGTGAGATTTCATTCAGTATACAGAATAAGTGAAAAAAATAATTCAAATCAGTTAGTAATTTATGGTGTACACAGTTCGAGAGGTGAAATTTCCCCAGAGTTCCCTTTGGAAACCAAATTACTCAGATCATAGGATGTGATCTACTTGTTACAATAAATGGTAATCAAAAAAGCAGGTATATTTGCATGAAACTAAATACTACGGATTGATTGGAGTGAATAGTTGCACATCACTCGTATTAATCAGTAATGCTGGTTAGCCAGATTGAAGTGATCTAAATACCTCATGGTGGTTCCACTGGTTTGGGACCGAGATCGTCATTGGTGTACTCGGTTAGACTTATCTCAGACAACTGAATCAATTCAAAATCTGACCAGTCAGCGTTTACTGATTGACATGATTGGTGTAAAAAAACTCATCTGAATCAATCAGTAGTATATAGTTTAAAAGGAATAGTCTCCACTTGTTTTACATTATGATGCTGTTGTTTAAATATAGCATTTCATAAGGTTCACAAACTAATGTTGCATCTCAAACTCCCTACATAACATTAAGAAGTGCGTATAATTAGAGAAGACATTTAGTGATTTATGTTTAAAGATAAAACAGATATTACTTTTTTCCCTTCTAACATTATCGTTTCTGAAAATAAATGCGAATTTATACATGACGCTGAGATACCAAAAGGGTGAGTGTGAAAAAGTCGCTAAATAAAAAGCAGTATTGTAAGCAAGGCTCATTTTAGATGTTGCATATTTTTAACGAGATTGGCAATCCTCAATCTATCTTGAGTTGAATGGAAGTGTTTTCTCTGCTTTCATCTTCACATTGGCATCTACATTTACCGTTCAATTAGAGTGAATTTTCGACCAGACAAGATACGATTTAACATATCACTTTCAGATTGGAAGATTTTCAACTATGTTTCACAGCGATCAACATGACTTTTTGTGGAAGTGATGCAAAAATATGCTTATCTCACTTTGTTTTGTGTATATTGTGATGTAATTCCTATAGCTTTATTCTCGTATGCCTAAAGGTAAGAAATTTATGTTTAATTCACTAGAAAAACTCTCATTAGCAATTAAAAGTGTCTAGACACTAGTGAACCTTATACCATGATTCCCTTTGGTGTTAACAAAAGCGCTTTTTTCCCACAGTGTCAGTAAAATGCCAACTTTTTAGTGTGTATCGCTTATAAATGTTCTGTAAGCAGTTTGATCCAGTTTTATTTGAGCTTTTTTTATAATAATAAAGAGATTGGTCTTACTCTGATCCTCCCATTTCATTAGTTTAGGTTGATTAGAGAGATAACAGTGTTCAAACACCATCAGTAATAAACTTTTTTTCAATATCCCACCCGAATACGCGTAGCTTTTATAACACATACAAAGAATATTTTCTAAACTTACACTTTGATGGCTTTTAGGACATTTAATTTACACTTAAATGTTTCATATAATGTAAAATAGTGGTCTTTATTATCTTTATTTAAATTAGAAATTTAGTGAGACAAAGATCTTACTTAATCAATAACAGTTATTTTCAAAATACAAACTATAAAATGATGTTTATGAAATCCCACTTTGAATAATTTTAAAACCCAAAACATTCACAGTACCAAAAATTACCAGCCTATATGATATTCATTAGCAACATCAGGATTTCAGATGTCTAAACTTTTCATTATTTACAAACAATTGATATAAGAAGTTAGGAAACACTGAGTTCAGCACACGGCGAATATTCAAGTATTGGTTTGTAGGAATATGACCGACTGGTTACAGGATTTCAGCATAAGCTAACATCGGTTAGAGGACCATTGGAAAATCAGCTGAGAGCACTGGATAGCTGTTACGCCCATCCTAGTTTGTGACTCTTCATCAGAATGCACTCACTGGGTTTCGAACCCAGGACCTTCTGGTTACAAGGAGAGCTCGTATTGGATTGCCAGAAGTTAGAAATCGTGATCCATTTGAACGGGTTCTAGTGACTGAATGGTCTACGAGTTAGGTAGCCTTGTAACCATAAGGTGATGAGTTTGACCCAAGTCAGTGTGTACTGCTGAAGATTCACAAACTAGGACGGACGAAACAGCTCTCCAATACCTTCAGCTGATGTCAGCTCATGATGAAATCCTGTAACACAGCATCTAGTTCAATTTTTATTTATTGTTTTTAGTGCAATCCGGATCTAAAGTTTACAGCTTTCATTGACTGATAAATATTTCCAGCAGGTAAGTAACATTAAACAGCATTTATTTTCATCCAGTGTGATTTAAACACAAATGCTATAAATAGTATCAAACACTGAATGACTGTCTGGTAAACCTGACCAATTCTTAAAAATGAAAAAGACTCTACGACTAATTTTTATTTATCTTTGTACATTCAGTACTTTCAATGAATTTCTCACAGTGAACCTTAAAGACTTATGTCTATTAAAAGTGCTACGTTTTCCTAAATATCAAAGAAAACAAATGATAAGGTTGCCATAATCACTTAGATTTTGAATGTCTGAGGTTTCCTGTGCATTTGTTGACAACATTTAGCATAAACGGAATATTTTTAATTGACATTAGACAGAAGCTGTATCTTAGATGCACGCCTCGCTCTATTTGAGACCGAAGCGACGTACCTGCCTCTAACTGAATGAAGCTGCTACCACTTGTGTTCTAATCCACTAAACATCATTTAAAATACCAAAGCTAATTGGTCATCATAGTTACTTCTTGTGCAGATAATGTTATTTTTTATCTATCAAGACTTTCAAATTTCCGTTGGCTTATTCCACTGGACCAAAATGTTCAGTTTCTGTTGGCATATCACGTCATAACACAGACACATGGCGAGTATCTTGAGGTTAACTTCAAGCTCAACGTTTTAGTCCGGTAAAATTAACAACAGAGGAATTCAAAGGTTTCAACAACAAAAGAAATGAAATATATTTCATCTAAACATCTTTTTGGATTCCTTTAATATTTGGAGAGTAATGGACGAAGTCTTTTATGCGTGCATAAAGTTGCACAAAAACAAACTTTGTGTCTCCTTAGATGGGAACTGATAAAACTTTAGTAAATGTCGTGCATATATGCATAAAATACATGAATCTTGTTTGCGACTATTCATCTCTTCTAAAATGAATATCGTTTGACATTTATGCAAATCTTCACTCAAAAAATTCCCTATATTTTGTACACATCAATAATAATGTTATTCGCTTTGTCTTCCAACCGGAGATCGGTAATTTAATTGTCGTTATCTGTTTTGTTGGACATATGTTGTGCTATTTTCGTGACTCTGTAATTCACAACTGAATTTATTCTTATTTTTACAGTGCACTTTTGAAATTAGCTGATAGTGAAATAGATTTAACAAAAGCTTTTTTCAATGTAATAAAATATTTATAACTGAAAAAAAATCACTTTCAATAGTTACCTAACTGGCATGAATGTTAGACTTATTTTTAGACCAGTTATGCAAGACAGAACTGATTTACTCATATAAAACTTTTGGGAGAGCCTGAGGCATTTTTTGATCATATATACAAAGACCAGTAGTGTTTAGAAGCTAAATAACATTTAAATTGGTTTCGTGAAACTATTGACTGAATGTGGCTGTGGGAAATTTGTTATTTCTAACCCTAACAATTGCGATTATCACCTATATGGATAATATTTATCTTCTGACATTGATACAAATCCCGGAGAAAGAGTGAAAGGAAATTTACACTAAAGCAAGGGAAAATAAATTAAAACAATTTGGATGAATTAGCCCCACTTATAGGTTTACGAAGCGTTCCAGTGATAAATGAGTGAAGACAACAAATGAGTTCTGTCTTCGTATGCTTTACACCACACCGTACTGAACTGAATTAAGCGTTATGCATCAATTAAGTATTTGAGGTACTAAAAACTCAGTTTTTCAACCTAAATCATTAGGAAAGGTAATTTCAAAGGAGGTTTCACTGAGATTCAAGTAGGCAGTTTTGTGCAGACATACAGGAAGCCGTGTACTGTTTGTTCATCCCATGAGTTTTAAAAAAATTATCAAGCGAACTACATAAAACTACTCTTCTCTGAAGTGTATTAGTTCTACGTCTTTAAGTATTATTAAAAAAGGTTAGACGCTCAGATTCATCACTCTTTGACGACTGCAACTGAGATTATATGAAGTTGTCTAACACACACATCTCTTGGTTCTCATATAGTTAATGAAATCCACAACAGTTAGTTTAAGCCAGTCACGAAGGAAGGTGTAGACTTCCTGACTGGTTGGGGTCCTCGGGACAGTTGGTTGGAAACAATTGGTGATATGGCTCAAAATCGTTCACAATGGCTGGCGCAGATGCATCCACTCGTTGTGACGTATGATTTTCAATAAAACTGTATTGTTTTTTGTTATTACTATTCCTTTGTCTCACACCTCTGTTTACTGCCTCTATTATGCATTTCTTCTACTTTGTTCTCTTGCTTTGTGTGCTACATGGAGTGTGGCGACTTGAACTGCTGTACATCGGTGCAAAATTCTATGTCGAAAACAGACAATAGACTCGTACTGTACCGAGTTTGTGTTCAAATATATGACTAGTAAAAACATCGGTATAACATTTTAATGAAGTTGAATCAGGTTGACCATAAATATGTGATGGTCTTTCCACTCTTCCACTAGCAAGTACTTCTTTTAACATCAAAAATATTTAGGCTAAAAAAGTGAAATGTACAAGAGATTTCTAAATTTTTGTTAGTTTAAAATAAATTCAGAACAATATCTTTTTATCAAATAAACAGATGGCAGTTTTAAATTAATCTGGAAATGTTTTCATTTCGTAATCGAAAACAACGTCATGAAATGATGCCTTAAGACAAAGTTAAACCTGTTTATTTGCATAAATGAATTTCATGTGGTATTCTTTTTAACATAGACAAAATGACACAAAACGGTAGATAATTCACTTTTCAAAAATTTGCATAAATTTGCCTAACAAATCATTAAAAAGAATTTACGAGAAAGAAATTTTTAGGTTTCTTTCTTGGACTCATTTTTGACCATATAATTAAGAAACTTGTGTGTGGCGGTGCAGTCCACTTCATCTCATTTCTAGACATCATCATACGTCAAAAATGGGTTGATTTATGATAAAGAATAAAGACATCTTACATGTAGATGAAAAGATGAAATGTGTTTCAAAGAAATGTAACTGTTAAAATAATTTAAAGTATTAGTTTTGTAGGGATTTTGTTTGATTGTTTAGAGGATTTCATCATGAGCGAACCATTGGAAAACTAGCAGTGAGTACTGGTCAGCTGCTTCGTCCTAGTTCGTGACTCTTCATCAGTAGACACCCACCAGCATTCGAAACCAGCAACTTCTTTTTACAAGGCGAGCTCGCAGACCGACCATTAAGCCACTGGGACCCAATCCAATGGCACATAAATTGCAACTTCTGCCGATTCACGACATAGCATGACCAATAGATAATGTCTTCGGAAAGTATTTATCCCCACACCCTACCTACCGCACCCTACTGGTCACGACTTTCCACTAGAACCACAGGTAACTAACTACCTACCTGAATAGAGCCAGTCGCTAGTGACCATCTCATTGGTTTTCAAGTAAAGTAAAACATTACTTACTATGTTCAGTTAAAAATCTTTAAGCGAACACAATATTCAAGCACTTGGTGTGTGAAAAACCACTACTTCAATCACAGTTCAGTTACATTTAACAGCATCTGAGACTGCCACAAGCTTTTTCGTATTACTGAATTGTAATTTTAAAAGCTGATTAAAATTGTTGTGGCAGAAATACGGGCGATAAAAGAAGATTTACTAAGGCTTTGGTTACTTTTATAACCAAATGCATTTAAACTTTGTGTAACTGAAGAACTATGATTATGACTTATTAAACTGAATGTTCACTGATCAGGACCGTGAAGGGAAAAAGAAACAATCTTCTGGTTAGTTACTGCAGCAATAAACATTTCAGACTACCAAATAAGGCGGAAGTTCTTTCTTTCAATGTGGACGTCATCCACTAG